GTTACTTCATTCAGATCCAATTCTAACTTTATATAAGGAGATAATAAACTCAATATTCCATTAGGAAATAAATTATGATTATACTAATTTGCAGCTATTGCACTAGTATTAGGAAATTTATTTCGATATCAGCGAATTTCAATTAATTAATTCAATCTTTGACTGTATATATATATGTGTGTGTGATGTACCAGCTTTTTTCCGGAATAAATAGATTGGTGAAGAATCATAAATGTAGTCGTAGCTTAAATTATCAGACGATAAGTTTAAAAAACAGGATCCATTTATTATTATTCAGGACAAATAGCAATTACAAAAATCTGATCTCCGGACTAAATAAAAAGAATTACTAATAACTTTTTTGTATGAAGTTTACTGCATCGTTACATTAAAGAAAAGACCCCGATATTCCTTTGCGAGTTCTTTTATAGCCTCTGGAAAGGCGGAGCTTCCAAGAAATGACGTCAGCCTCGTCAGCCATTTCAGTTCGCTTTAAATATTTCCAGAACATTCTATAACTGTACTTGTAGAAAAGGCGAGAAAAACAACTTGACTACGGGGCTGTGGATTTAATTCCACGTACTTTCAAATAAGAAACCGTCGCCATTAAAAAAGTGAAAAGAACATACAGTTAGAATTTTAAGTGTAATTTTGACTATGGAATTTTATTATCATATATATATATATATATATATATATATATACCCACTCTGTGTATTTTGCTTAAAAAATGTTTGAATTATGTTGTTCTTATCTTCCGATTAAGGTTTTTATGCCTTCAGTTACTCTGCATGCAATAGCTGTAGTATTATCAATAATCTAAACGCTATTTAGGGGCGGCTAAGCCTAATTTTTTTTTTTACCACAGCAGCCATATTTGTTTACGCTTCAAACTTAGCAGAACAGGGAAGGAAGTCTTCCTGCACCTTCAGTGTCTTTTTGTCGAATGAGATTAAAAGTAAACTTTTAGTTTTATGAACCGAAAAATCTTTTTTATTGCCCGCTGGTCCATTGCTTGTTTTTGCTTAGAAACTCTAATTTTAATTGTAAATTTTTTATTTTTTAATTGTAGTTGGTGTTTTTTGTTTTTCTATAATTTTCACTGAAAATGTTTTGAGTTTGTATGTATTTAGTGAGAATTCAAGTAATTGCATGAAAAATCACTCTCTAATGAAACTCGAGGAAGTAAGTTTAAATGAAATGCAGAAAAAAGTTCGTATAATTTAATATTCCGTACAAGGAACTGAAAATGTTTGAACCATTTTCAAAACGAGCAGGATTTGAGTTGAAATCAGGTCTCGGGGTGTTTAAAAATACAAATTTAACTTGCAGATAAAATGTCAGTGGTTTTGTAATCTTTAAAATAATAAATGTCACAAAAATACCTCTGAAAACCGAACGACAAGGAATATAATGGAAAGGAAAACATGTACCCGAAAACATAAAAACGAAGACAGTATAAAATATGCAATCTTGTTTGTGTATCAAATACTTTGTCAAGTAATTCCACTTCGAGAATGGTTGTAAAATTCTTTTGTCATTGAAATTTCCTTTGTCTGACAACTTTTAGTAAAAAAAGGCTACACCGAAAATAAAATCGCAGCTTTCAATCTGTGATACGAAAGTGGATTCTTTGAAATAAATATTCAGGAATTAATAAAAATTGTAGCTCTCAAAAGCTATCACTTTGGAATGCTTATCTGAATCTTAAAATTCAGAGTATATTTCTTTTCATAAAATTGTTCATATCCGTTTCTTTTATTGCAAAAACAAAATTGATAAATTTGACATTCTCTGGCATATTTACGTCACAAAACGAATGAGCCATTTTGCATTATCACTCGATCTTTCGGCCTGCAGATACAAACAGACAGGGAAAAAAAAAACTACCCTTAAAATTTATATTCTCAAATTTGGCAATACAACAAAACTTCTGAAGAAATAAATATTTTTCATGATTCTAAATCAGATCGAGAACATTTTTTCTTTTATTCTCTTGGCTTCTAAATAGTTGCAGGGAAATGTTAGTTGTTTTCAGCTGTTTTATTCGCATCTGAAAAGACATGTACTCAGCAACAAAGAGGGTACACTAAATGGCTTGTCACAAGGTTGCGTTTTTTCCGTGCGGGGGGGGGGGCATAAGTTAAGTAAAGAACCCAGATAAGTGTTCTGAAATTTATGTACTGCTTTCTTAGCTTTTTATTTATTTTTTCCTCAAAATATGACAGTGGAAATAAGATAGATTTTTAGCTTTCTAAAAAATACTTTTTTAACTCTTAAAAGGAAGTAAATTATTCTCATACAGCCTTTCGAAAACAGAAAATGGCTAAAAGAATGCATTTAGAAATGTAGTTAATAAGATCATCAAGATATGTCATCTTTGCTTAGAAGTATAATAAAAATTTAAAGTAATTTATTTTAAAGGAGAATTTATTCACAAAGCATTGTAAGAAGAATAAATTCCTCAGCTTTATCACGTAAACTAGCGGAAGTCCCGGATGCCAGTTAAGTTAGATTGAAAATAATGTATCTAACAACAGAGAGAACGATACCGCTGTAATCCTTCTCTAATAATGATGCAAAAAATACGATTCGTAGTCATATATTTTTCAGTTTGATGCGATATGGAACCCACATAAAAATTTCGATAGGAAAAATAAACCAATTCTCTCTCATTATATCAGCAACAATGGCACGGAGTTTTGAATGATTTTCGTCTTTCTAATCAAATGGTCGTAAAAGCTCGAGTTCCATCCAATATTTCACCTATATTCAATTTTAGTCGAATAAATGGGGGGGCGGGGGGGGGAATGATCATAATTGATCAGAAATCAATAACGCGAACAAGCAAACAGACATATGGCATGAGTATGTGGTTAAAGCTTTCGATACACAATCTTGCGCGTTGGAGATAAAAATGCGGGGTTTTTTTCCCGTACAGTGTTGCCATTCCTCGCTTTGAAATCGTGGAATTTCTTAGTCAAAAATTCGTTAAAGTGTTACAAAATATGAAATCGATAATAAAACAAACTTCAAATGCCAAATTTTGGGCTTCCAGATGCCCATATTCCGTGGAGGATTACATTATTCAAAATTGGATGGCTCTAGGTACCGTTGTTTTATCACAATGCCAGAAACATACATACATTTATGCCGATTCTTCATTATTTAATTTCTTTAAATATAACACAGGCTGTACTATTTGGTGGCAACAATCTGAAAAGTTAACCGACATTTATAGCGAAGCAACGCAAAATGCCAAAACGAAATTAATAGCCCATTTGGGCTAACACCCTTTGGGCTAAAAATTGACGTAAAACATCAAAACTTGACGATTTTTTAAAACTCTCAGCGAATGAAAGATATAATTTTATTTCAGTTTCCTTATCTAGGCGATAGAGAAATAAAAAATCTGATGTGTACACCACATGACTTCCTTGTACGGAATATTAAATTATACGCATTTTTTCTTGCGTTTCATTTAAACTTATTGGATTGAATTAAATCTACTTTGCCGACAGCGCATAAACCACAATAGAATAAATGCTTTCCTTAAAATTCACTCTAGTATTTGTTTACCATAGCGACACTCTGGCTCTAGATTCACTTAACAGTATTATATTTTGTACATATTATAACTCATAATGCACAAAATTTATATCATTTAAAGAATAGAATTATCTAATCGTTGCCACATGTTCTATTCAAATACTATAATAAAGCTAGAACGATGTATAAAAGAAATTAAGCAAACAAAACAAAAAAGAAACAGTTTTTCACAGACGATTGAGTATTTCTCAGCAATTAATTCAGTTCTCACTTCGCGAGAAGGCAAAAATACATAAAAACTCAAAATATCTATATTAAAAATTACGAAGTAAATCTCAAACGCTTATTTCCTCGAAAAAATTCCAGAAAGAATTAAGCATGATTTAATTGGCAATAATAAATGAATGCGTTATCTTTGTTGTTGCGAAGTTAAGTTTTTCTAGATTGGCAACAAATCGACTAGTCTCCTGTTTCAAATGTAAACATCAATGGCCGCCATTAAAAAAATTATTAGGCTTAGAGGCACTTAAAGAATTTTAAAATTGTTGATAATTCTAAAAATATTGCATACAGATTTACTAAAGGCATAAAAACCTTAACCGGAAGATAAGAACAACATAATTGAATCATTTTTAAAGCAAAAAATGTACAATTTATAGACATATAAGAGTAAAGAAACCGAGATCACTGAGCCGGGTAACAGAGTGGATATATATATAAATATATTTATATACGTTTGGTGCGGCCGATTGCAACCGAAATACGAGGTGCACATCTGCATGTTATAGCAGTCCTATATGCAAAATTTCAACGTTCTGAGGCTACTCGTTTTTGAGTTATGCGAGATACGTACGTACGTTCGTACAGACGCCACGAAAAATTCTCTTCAGAATTAATTTTAAAGCAGTTTTATAATTTTTTTGGAGGAAAAGAGTCTTTTATTCTGTCCTTACGTACAGGCCACAACATCGTTAAATTGCATTCGATAGCGGCCATAATGGATATATTCGTTGAAATATGCTGCCTGAAACTTTTCGCGATTACAATACTTCCTTTTTACTTCGTACAAGGAAGTAAAAAGGGGTTTTTCTATATATACTAAAGCTAAGCCTTACATAGAAGTCAAACCCGGATCTTTAATTTTAGGCTTGTGGTCAGCCTGCGGTTATTGTAGAGTGGTTTGAGGTGAGAAAGTGATAAAGACATCTGGAGATTAGTTTCTGACGCACATTTACTTTTGAATGTGGACCAAATATTGTGGGATTCCTGTAATCGAGCTATTTTATGTAATGAAACCTGTGTTCTAGTATAAAATGGAAGTTAAACACATCGTTTCGTAACATAACATAAAACAGAATTTCCTTTAAGTTTCCCAATGCATTTAAAACTTCTAATACCTCTGTGCATAACAATAAGTACATTTATATGTTAATATTGTGTTTTATTTTCAGAATGCTGTACAGGAATGAAATCAGTTACATTGGACCTTACGGTTTAGATGGCTTGGATTCCTTAAAAGTCTTGTAAGTAATTAATCATGTTTCGAATTTTGTAATTTTGTCAATTTGTTATGAAGTTAGGTAATTTTAGTAGAATTATGAGTAAAATTGTTGTATTTTTTCTGTGTAATGTAGCGCGAGACAAATTTTAAAAGAAAGATATGCCGGAAAGGTAAGAGTACAGGGGTAAGTGAATTTAACATCGAGTAAATGGCTATCTCAGTAATTTGGCGAGAAATCGCCAAGTTGACAACGGTTTTAATAAGTTATTTTGTCCCCAAATTTCGCAAGAAATCTCCAAAAGTCGCCAAATTAGGTGACCATTTGGCAACATTCTGTCCAGTCCCTGTATCACCGGGTTACAGCCGAAAACATCGCAGAGATAACAACGCAAGGCGAAAACGTCGTGATACAAAGCATCGAGGGAGAAAACTTCGCAAGGAGAAAACATCACAATTCTAAAACATCGTGATACAAAACATCGTCGTCCAAAATAAAGCGGTTCAAAAATTTCGCAGTTTAAAAACATCGTCGTCGAAAATATCGTGGTAAAAAATAAAGTATCTACAAATCATCGCATGACGATAATATCGCAAACCTGCGTTTTTCAGGCTTTAATAATTGTAAATGGATATTTCCATAATGATTTGTGAGCGCAAGATATAAAGAAGGATAATCTTTACTTAAGTCGCCCTTCGATTTGGGTTACCCAGGAAAATAATCAGTGATAATGGTACCCAGTTTACTAGTGCTGTTATGCAACAACTATGCTATATCTTGAACATTGATCAAAGTCTTACTCCTGTCTATCACCCACAATCTAACCCAGTTGAAAGGAAGAATAGAGATCTGAAACCACGTTTAGCAATACTTGTTGGTAACGACCATCAGTCATGGAAGGATAAACTGCCATTAATAAGGTTTGCTTTGAATACAGCCAAATGTGATTCAACTGGACATTCTGCTTCTTTTCTTCAATTTGCACGAGAGTTACGAACCTTAGATGATGTAAAGCATGATATAAAAGCCGTAATTGAGAACGATAATTTTGTTCCCGAAATTACTCCATATTTGAAACGTTTTGCAAGAAATGTACAACAGGTACGAGAAAGAGTCGAAATGCATCAAGATAAGCAGAAACGATATGCTGACAAAAAAACGAAGAGAAACACCGAAATTCGTTCCTGGAGATAAAGTTTGGGTCACCACCCTCCACCCAATCAGCAAAGGTCCACTGAAGAAAACTGCTAAATTCATGCCCAAGAGAGATGGTCCTTATGTGATAGTGACTACAAGATCTCCAACCACTTATGATATTGCCGATCCTCATGAACCAGACAAAATTCTCGGCAAGTATCATGTGTTTCAGCCTTGAAACCATATCAAGATCGAAATAAGCAAAACTCAGCTCGTGTAATTCCAGTGGTTCCCTTAAAGAAAAAGAGGACGCCCGAAACGTGTAATACCATCCGAATCTGCACCTGTAGCACAAGGTGTAGCTGGTGACGCAAAATCTACTCCTCGTCAAACTGGAGCCCGTCCATCTGATTCTCCGCCCGCTGCACAAAGTAGACAAATGTCAGTTCCTGACTTCTTGTCGAGACGTCTACGAAGTCAGAGGGGGAGGATGTAACAGACCTATTTAAGTGTAATTGAACTATTTTATTCACGCCATTAACTCGTGAACTGTAACCGAACTGTTTTATTTAAACGCCATCTCGTGGCGATATGAAGAAACGTCAGTCGAACTCCAGCCGCCATGATGATAGTTTACTATGTTATGTTATTCAAATGTTTGATGTTCCATTTCGTATATGTTTCATTTTTATGTATATTTCTTTTTGTTTGTAACCGTTCCTGTGTGCTCTGTTAATAAATCCTTTTAAAGCTAGCCGGCATTAGTGTCTATTGAGGAACGGCTACATCACAAACTTAGAAATTAAATGCAATAGAACTTAGAAATTAAATGCAACATAGAAAATTAAATTCAAAAATATAATCTAGAGATTATATTTTTTATGAAAACTTGCAAGTAAACACTTTATAAAAAATGATTTATTAATGGTCTCTGTTAGTTAACTATGTCGGTTTAAAATTTTATTAAGTGCTATAAGTTGCATTAATTTTCTATCCTTAAGTTTTCCTTCTTATTTTTCTCGGCAAAATTTATTAGTTAATATAAAATACGAAAGACAAATTATCCTTCTTTCCTCTTACGCTCACAAATTATTATGGGAAATATCCATTTACAGTTATTAAAGCCTGAAAAAAGCATGCCTGCGATGTTTCGTCATGCGATGATTTGTAGATACTTTATTTTTACCACGATATTTTCGACGACGCTGTTTTTTTTTAGACTGCGAAGTTTTGAACCGCTTATTTTCGACGACGATGTTTTGTACCACGTTGTTTTAGAACTGCAATGTTTTCTCTTTGCGGTGTTTTCTCCCACGATGTTTTGTAGCACGACGTTTTCGCTTTGCGTTGTTTTCTCCGCGATGTTATCGGCGGACACCGTATCACCGTAATATGTATTGAAACTGAATAAATGTAACTGACCACTGTGTTAGCTGCAACCGTAATTCCACCTTCGTATTGCTTTCCAGTAGTTTCGAAAAGCAGAAATTACTAGAAATATCTCGCGACCGGTTGAGATCTATTTAACGCCGAAGAGTGAGCATTCGCTGTCAGTTGCTTAGTTACTGTTGTTGCGAGTTGTTTATTTCCGCGTGAACTGAAGTATGCGAGTTACTTTCTCTTTAGATGCGCTTTGCATTGCCTTGTGTTTAACATTCTTATTAGTTTGAGGTGTAACTACTGATTGTGCTGGTGATACTGTGAACACTTGCACGGAAAACTTCTGTGGAAATTTCCAGGGTTCTCAAATATTTCTTTTAATAAAAACAAGTTTTATGAACTTATTATCGGACCTGTGTATTCAATCTATTACAAACCCGTACGCACGCAGCAATATACGTAGCGGATTCGGAAACTAAGTACCGTTTCATTCTAGCGCTGTGGTAGGCGTCTCGCGCATGCGCACTAGTCTTTCTTGTTCACTGACTTTCAATTGTCGCCATTTTGGTTGCTCTATGCTGTGTTTTCAGTTTGCTGTGCATATTCAAAATGTTTAAGGCAATTAATTCTCCCGCTGACTGTGAGATTCGTGCCGTAATTAAATTTTTGAACGCGAGGAATGTTAAACCGGCCGAAATTTATCGTCAAGTGACAGAAGTTTACGGTGAATACGCGATAAGTGATGGAATGGTGAGAAAGTGGGTAAGAATGTTTAATGCAGGTCGAACTAATGTCCACGCCGAGGCTCGGAGTGGTCGGCCTTCTGTTGTCATTGTGATTTGGTCAGTGTTGATTTGGTAAGGAAAGTTGTTGGAGCAATTCATGAGAACAGACGCTTCACAATGACAACACTTTCAGAGGCATTTCCACAAATTTCACGTACTGTTTTGTTCAAAATTGTGTCTGACCGCTTGAATGATCGCAAACTATGTTCCCGATGGGTTTCAAAAGTGCTCACTGATGTTCACAAAACAAAGCGACTTGGTAGAGCCCTGACATTTCTCACGCTGTACAGTGATTAGGGAGAAAACCTTTTAAACCAAATTGTGACAGGTGACGAAACTTGGGTGTGTCATTTCACACCAGGAATCGAAACAACAATAGATGGAGTGGAGACACACTCATTCTTCGAAAAAACAAAAGTTCAAAGTGACAATGTCATCACAAATATCATGTGCACTGTCTTCTGGGATAGGAAAGGCGTTTTGCTTACTGAATTTCTTCCCAGAGGTGAAACCATTAATGCGCACGATATTGTGAGACTTTAACAAAACTAAGGCGTGCTATTCAAAACAAACGAAGAGGAATGCTCGGTAAAGGAATTGTGTAGCTCCATGACAATGCTCGGCCCCATACTGCTGGTGTCACTCAATCGTTAATTCGACAGTTTCAATGGGAGCAGTTCGATCACCCACCGTACAGCCCGGACTTGGCGCCGTCCGACTATCACTTGTTCATGCACATGAAGCGCGAGCTTGGTGGCAAGCGCTTTGGATCTGACGATGACGCGAAAAATGGTGTGGAGTCGTGGTTATCGACACTGGCGGGAAGTTTCTTTGACGATGGTATACAAAAACTGGTCACCCGCTATGACAAGTGTTTGGTCATTGGCGGAAACTATGTTGAAAAATAGTTTAAGACACGTATTTTCATGCAAAAATAAAATTGGATTCGAAAAAATTGTTTTACTATTTTCTTTTTTCAAAACGGTACTTAGTTTCCGAATACGCCTCGTATATAACATGAAATAATAGAATTGCTCGTATGTAATTCGTGCATTCCATATCATTTGGCACCTTTAGCTTGCCAAGCAAAAAAGCTCATTCCCTCATACCCCCTGTCCGCAGCTTCTGTATACTGCCTTTCTATTTAAAGAATTGTATAATAAAGTTCCTGTTTTAATATGTTTTAATTTGAGGACAATTAATAAGGTTCCTCCAATATACAGGAGGAGTAGCAATGATTTCCAGAATATTGTACCATAGTAGATATTATAACATGTTCTGTGGGAAGGGTTGAGAAATATTGTTGCGCTTTTACGGGTTCGTGGATTTGGAGTAACTGACGACAACATTTGATGAAGAATGAAAACACAATTTATTAACCAGTGTTACTCAGGATAGCTCCAATAACGCGTTTACAGTCGACATAAACTACGACAAATACGCTGACACAATCAACAACACAACCTTCAGGCTATAACGGTGAAGACAGTTTCGCGGCAAAGCACTAGAATACAGCTCCCGACTCGGTTCCATCGTTCTTGGAACTCTCGAGACTCTCCACGCTACAACTCGTGATGCATTCGACGATGCACTCGACAGCCTCAACGCTGCACCAACTCGGGATACACTCGACGACCAACTCGACGCTAGACTGACGATCAACTCGACAGACTACTATTCCGCGCACAGGCAGGCTTTATATAGCTTTTGGCCTGCCTTCGA